ATAAAAATATTCAACGAATTTCATTGATCGCCTTTTACAATAAATCTGTYACTTGACCAACACAACCAAAATTAATAGGATTATATTATAATAAAAGAAACTCTTATGTGCTTTCTGTCTTTGTTGAACAAACTCAGTCATTCATTCCAGGTGCGAGTTGGAAGGCTTCAGCTGACCAATTTGCTGAAGTGTCAGCAACAATTGCACCCCCGCTAACTTCCGCAGATTGTTCATCTGCCCATTGTGTGTGGTGATTGATTCCAGATCCGAATCTGCCAAATGCAGAGCTGCTAAACACAAGCACAATTTTMAWTGTTTATCACACTAAATACTAGAGGAAAAAACTGTGCTTTTCTAAAACACAGGGCGACAAAAAAAAAGTCATGTCGTGACAACTTGACAAATTTTATAGCATTTCGTTTGTCTCAGTGAGATAAATCAAATGCACTAAAAAAATTTCAAAAAGTCCACACACTTTGAACTAATTAATTTTTTTCTAATTTAAATGAATTTAAAATACTTTAACTTTAAAAAATCATTACTCAATAACTATTAGGCCTATTTTCTTTAAATAAAGACCATTTTAAAGGGATGGACTTTTACTTTAGAATGATATGAAATTTGAAATTGAATATTGGCAAACTTTTTTTCGAAAAGTGTTCTAAGAAAAACCCTAGGAGTAAATTTTTTTCTTTGTCACCATCGTGTAGAGCATCTTTTTATTAGTNCATCGTGTAGAGCATCTTTTTGTTAGTAAGAATCTATAATTTTTTAAAATAATATACCGAGTGGTTATTAAAATATGATATTTTGAAGTTAAGGTTTGCTGTTCAGGTATTGCGCCATATAAAAGAAATGCATGTTAATCTTACTTAAAATTACATTTTTATAAAAGTATTTGTTTTAAAACTCTTCTTTTGCTTAAAAATGGTCAATTGCACCTTCTTTGTTCTAATTAAAATAAACAAAAAACTGTTTCTTTACTTAAAACAAACGTACTAATTAAAGCAAATAAAGAGTTTTTTGTTCTAAAAATGATCACTGATCAATGAGCAAAAAGGATCTAGAAGTTTAAAGCAGTAGCTTTAAATATAAGAACAAATCTTTTTCAAAATGACTTTCCATTCAGATTAAAACTTGTTTACTTTGTTCTAGCTTTCTGAACTTTTTTTTGAAAATGTTCACAGCAAATGCTTTTTCATCACTTTCTACTGATGTTGAATGCAATAAGTCAGTTGCTTCAAGCTAACTGAAGCTAATCGTAGAATGTACCAACAAAATAAATCAGGTGACTTATAGCATTTAACATAACTCGAAAGTGATGAGAAAGCATTTGCTCAGAACATTTTCAAAAAA